AAAAGTACCTGCGCAAATTACATAGGTGCGCAAATTACATGGGTTGTTACGGTAATAGTAAATTAAACCTGATGAATGGTTAATGCTTAAATTGTTCACTTTGTTCATAAATTTCATGTGAAATGTTAACTATAAAACTTGTTTATGATTTTGTAATTGTAGAATGAACAATCCAAGCAAAATAGCACCTCCAGAATCTGTGATCCCAGTGTAAACCCAGCCAATTCCATGTCTACATCAACTCACTCAACAGGTATACAGAACCATTGTACTCTATTCACTGAAATTAGTGATCAAAGTGCTTGTGAGTTATGATACAAAAGGTTGTGCTATTCAACCATTTTATCACTACAGAACATTATAAGCATTCCTGTCGAGGTGGAGATTTGGAAATCAATTGTTTCATCCAAAGGATGTCCAGCCATGATCATCAGACATATATCTCTGCTTTAAACTTATCTAACTATAAGTCATTGACCAGACCTGGTCAGATCTCGGAGGGTGTCTATATAATGTTCAATTCTTCCCAAAAAGAGGTGCTAATTAAGGCGAATATGGTTTACAATTGTATGCCATTATTATTGACCTTTACTAAGGTTGATAAGTCAATAAGAGATATTTTTCTGTCTGTATGTAACACTTGGTGCCATATCATATTAATATATGCATAAATCTTTCACTGTGCTTCACGGAAAAAACTGTAGAATTACTCTAAAAAAATACATTTTGATATTCATGTTTTTATTTATTTAAAAAAAACTTGAACTGTTTTTACTGTGTATCTTCCATGTACATGGTTTTATAGGTTTGAATAGGAGCGTGCTTATTTTGTTTAGCTTAATAAGCATGCAAGTAAATATGAATACAACCCAGATCCGATGCATTCCTCCTGCTTTTACTACATCTTGGCTCCCGAGGACAACACTATTGACAACCCAGGTTCGGGTATTCTCTTTGCCAAGCGTACACCCAGTACTAATAGAACACAGGTTGGTCACGAGCACCACTGTATCAGGAGAGAGAAAAATGCTCGGCCAGACTGGGATTCAAACCCAGGACCTCACAGCTCGAGACCTATGCTCTAACCAACGGAGCTACCGGGTCACCAGTGATTGTTCAGGTCCAGTTCAGCTTCTCTACTTCGAACCAAGACAACGGATACATTAGTCACATCTACTTATTCATTATCATTACGAAGAAATTCTTCATATTGAACGGAGTTTTTGAGAACAAATTGTCCGTATGAAATAAATGTGAAATTAATGTTTGTTGTCCATTTGTTTAAAATTGCCTTGTTTCTTTGCACAGATTCTTCAGAAATTACTTTTCCAAAATTAAAAAGTCCTGGCTCAAAATCTGTTGAATCTTCCAGCACTTCTGAAAGTGGTGAATGGGTAAGTATTGTCCCCTGATATAGTGTGTAGAGAGCTGAAGGACATCAAATACTCGGGCTGCAGCAATTTATAGTGCCATTACATTATTGCGATATTTTGATTCTTTTTGGAGGTCATGATACACGTTATATTTTTTCTGGATTTTGTCGTTTCTGAATTTAGTCTACTCATATCCGTTCCCACATGGCAAGTGACCGCTCCAGCTCTGTATGCACATCGAAAGACGTGAATTATGTGAACTTTAAAGTCATGTCTATTTTTGACCAGTCTATATATATTCCCTGTTGTGATATTACCATTAAAAATTTGCAACATATATTTTCTCTTTTCTGCTACTGTTACTATATGTATCGTGATAAATATCGTATCCCAAATATCGTATCGTGATAAATATCGTATCGTGATATGTACCATATCATCATGTTATGTATCGTTGCAGCCCTATCAAATACTGATTTATAATATAAAGTATAAAAATTAACTTTGGTTTCTACAACAAAACAAAAAATGTATGGATTGGTATATATATGGTACCTGCTAGGTTAATGTAGTTTCAAGTCATTGTAAAACCTTGGTGATTTGAACGTGTATGTCAGTACCAGACACTGGGAAGGATAGATAACCAAATAAAAGTACAAAAATGATCAATTATACATGGAAGCTTAAGTAAAAAATACATCTCTACACAAATAAAGAATATGATCTTCACATAAGCTATAATATATGGTGTTTTAATAATATCTTATTTACAATATTGGACCTTTAGCAACATTTTGAGGAGGATGCTGCTGATGATAAACTTGAAGATTTAGATGATGATTTCTCAAGGTAATTGGTTCCGTTTTCTCATAACAATTGATCACTTTATTTCAAATTCCATGCATCTGCAATATGACTGTTTCAA